AGTTTCCATGGGTATAAAAGAAAGGGTTTGGATTGTGTGGATTCTGAGATTATTTCTAGGTCTAGATCTATGATTTGCCAGCCCAGATCTAGGTATATGCTTTGTCAGCCCAATGATAACTGATGTTCACTACGCACAGTGGACAGATGACTGGACATGGAGTCAGGAAGACTTAGTTGAAATCAGACCTCAGATACTTATTAGCTGTGTGACCCTGAGCAAAATACTTAAGTTGTATATGCCTCAGTTTCCTTATCTGTAAAATGGGGATAATAGTACCTCCCAGCATTATTGTAAGGATGTAATGGTAAAATATTTGCAAAGCATGCAGCAAATCTTGAAGCTCTATAAAATGCTAGTTATTATTTTTGTTGTTGTTGGTTTGATAATGTTAACCCTGAGGCACCACCACTTCATAATAAATTATGCTTGGTCTAGTTTTGGTTCTAAGCATGTTTTATTAAAGTCTAACTCTAGAAACATTGATGTTTTACACATGATACAAGGGTACATAGTAAACCAAAAGATATCACCAACAATAATACTCTTACTCTCCAAACAGGTGAGTTAGCAAAGAATTTACTTGCATAGTTTTTTCATTGCTGAGTATCTCAAATTTTTGTCTGTTCAGCAAGTGGTTATCTACTTTGTAAGGAGTATCATTGTGGGAAGCAGGGAGATATGAACTTAGAATTTGATACAGTCCCAACCCTTAAGAAGTTTACATCATTATCATCAACATCATCATTAGATTCATATAGCACTTTAAGGGTTGCATAGTGCTTTATAGATTGTCTCATTTTATATTCACAAGCTGCTTATAAGAACTAGGTTCTATTATACACATTTGACAGATCAGGAAACAGAGACAAACAGAGGTTAAGTGACTTGCTCAGGGTCCCACAGCTGGAAAACATCTGAAGTTTTCATTGTTATTGACACAAATCTACATATAAAGACATATCTACATCTATATCATATGTAGATAAAGGGTACACACCTCAGATTAACAGATTATCATAGTTGGAAGATGCCTCAGAGGCCACAACCTGTACCTGAGAATCCATAGTATCACATAACAGAGAAGTAGAAAGAGAGCACAAAAAGATCCCCAAGCCTACTGAGAGACCAGTTTCAATAGCATCTCTATATAGAACCTAGATTGCAGTGGGTTGAGATGTGAATGATGAAGAGTCTTTCTTTAAAACTGGAGGGAAAGAGGACAGGATAACTAAGGACATGGAGAGGTTTTGAGAAGGGGGAAAAAGAGAGAGTAGAAGGTGAACTCATTTGCTGAGAGTGACTGGGAAAAAGTGGAGGCTTGTGGGCTAGTGGAAAAGTAACATAATGTGGAATGTGTTAGAGTGTCAATAAGAGATTTTTTTTTTAAAGGATCCCTGTGGAGTGAGGAGGAGAAGAAGAGAGGGATAGAATTTAGAACTCAGAACTTTAAAAAATGTTAACAATATTTTAGATATAATTGGGGGAAAATAAAATATTCTTTTTTTAAAAAAGGATTCCTTTGTAGTAGGGAAAGACTAGTTGAGGTTAGAGCGCATAAATCTGTAGTGTACCCTATCATGATGATTTTATCATTTTTTCAGGAATGCTCGGTAGTTGAGAAAGGGGAGCAGAAGGAGTAGATATAAAGAGTTATGAAAGGTGAGAGTTAGTAGGACAGAAAAGGCAAAGGTAAGAGGGACCAGATATTTAAGAGGAGAGGAGAGGAAAGGAGGCCTAGCTCAGACTTGTGGGGAAAAAAACTATTAATTTCTCAAGTCATTCGCTGAAAGTGTGTTTTACAAAGTCAGTTTCATTTGATATTTTTAAAAGAATGGAAAAACTGTTACCCATTACACAGGAATATGGTAAACCAGAAAACAAGTCAGGATTTAAAACCAGATTTTCTGAATCTTAAGCTAATTCTCTTTGCATGATACCACATGCTCTACCTACCACAGTCAAATAGAGGCAGCTAGATGGTTCAATAAATGGAATGCTGAGCCTGAACTCAGGAAGACCTGAGTTCAAATCCATCTTTAGACACTTACTAGCTGTGTGACCCTGGTCAAGTGACTTAATGTCTGTTTGCCTCAGATTCCTTATCTGTAAAATGGGGATAATAACAACACCTATGTCTCCTAGGATTGTTGTGAGGATCAAATGAGATGTTTGTAAAGCTCTTAGCACGGTTCCTGTTACTTAGTAGGCACCTAATTCTTGTTTCCTTCCTTCCTCCTACTTAGGGAACACTGCAAAATGAAGATGTAGCATGGCACAGAATGTCACACCTCAGGAATGTCACTTCAGGGGAAACCCCACCCCCCAACCATGCCATTTTTGTCCTAGCTAAAGAAAATCCTTGCTTGTCAAATATATATAAAAAGCTCCCATTTCAAGTGTGGTTGCATCTTTTCTCCTTATTCCCTACCATGGCTGATATTGCAATTCTGAGGAATTTCTTCATAAGCCCAAAGGTGCCTCTTTTCCTCTTCACCTAGTGGAGTTGGATGATTTCGAAACCACCCTTTGAAAACACTCCCATTTAGGTGCTCCGTCAATCAACACTTCTCTTTTTTCAGGTTTGGTAATTCAATCTTTCTCAATTGCTGAGGGACAAAAGTTCAGAACCAACTCCTTTGCTTCTTTCATACTTTAATGATAGGAAATATGTATCCTTCAGATAGCTTAACATCAAAAAACCTATTCAAAGTGGGCCACCTTTAACTACTGGAAGCTCTGCTCTTGTAAGTAGCATGCAACATAGAATCAACTTCAAGCAAGAAATTATTTTCAGAGTGGATCTTTCGTATACCATGAAGCTCACAGCTAATCTGTTCAAGAAGGATCAGTATATAAATTATCGCTATTGACTTCATGTAGGACTGCCTTGGATTTGAAAAACTGCCGTGGGCTACTTCTTGGGAACCACAGTTACTGCTGTGCACCTCTAGTGCTCTCGTCCTTTGTAATTTGTAGCCCCGAAGGTGAGGCTGACGTGGGGTTAGAGTGATGTTGCTTCATTATGGTGAAGCTATGTTCCAATGGGGACTTTTGCCTTTTGCCACTCACTTTTCATCTTTCTTGGAAAAGAAAACATTTTTCAAGGTAGCAGAAACATTTCACTGGAAAAGGACACCCTATACATGGAGTTGTTAATACTTGCATAAAAAGGCCTAATATTTGTAAAGCACTTAGCATAGCATCTGGCAAATAATAAGTGCTAATAAAATGCTTATTTCATATACCCATCTGTCTAGAAACGAAGGTGAGGAAAAATTCTGTCTTTAGACTCCCACCTTTCTGTAGGAGCTTTGAGGATAATTCTACCTGGCTTTGGCTACCCCACAAGTCAATAGATACCTCATAGCATGTGTGAGAACATGAAATATTACAAGAAAGCAGGCTTTAGAAGAAAGGTTTTGTAAGCATCAAACATTGTTATTACTAGAAGCAAGGCCATCTGTTTCCTCAGAACTAAATGGAGAACATGGCTATTCACTTCCTGTTATAATAATCTTTAGATAACATGTTTTTACTACCTCCTGTGCTGATCTGGATTTCTGTCTCACAACTCTCTGCCCTTTATAGGCCTCTCATTATTTCTAAGGGAAAATAAAACTATTCATATTAGCACCTGAAAATTATTGCCCCATGTAGTAGACTGCTAGAGTTGGAGTCAGAGTTCAAATCCCACCTCAGATACTTAGTAGCTCTTTGACCCTAGGGCCCCAGTCTTCTCATCCATAAAATTAGGGGTTTGGACTTAACGACCGCTACATTTCCTTCCAGTTCTAAATCTATTATCCTACCACCTTTTAAAATGTGTATTGTGGAGGTTAGGAAGGCACAAAAGAGAAAATATGTAGTTACTATTTTTTTTTTAAATAATCTGATAGTACACACAAGTCTCTTTCTTTGAAAAGGAACTTGCCAAGGAAATACTGTAAGAACTACAGGCGTTGGTTGTTAATCTCCATTTTGTTATTGTTTAGTCATTTTTCAGTCATGTCTGACTCATTGTGACCTCATTTGGGGTTTTCTCTGCAAAGATACAGGAGTAATTTGACATTTCCTTCTCCAGCTCATCTTACAGATGAGAAAACTAAGGTAAACAGGGTCAAGTGACTTGCTCAGGGCCACATAGTTATTAAGTATCTGTGTCCAGATTTGAACTTGACTTCTCGTCTCCAGGCCCTGCACTCTGTCTACTGTGCCACCTAACTGCTGTAATGAACACCAAGGTTAGTCTCCATAGAAATGTTTTTCTTGTGATTTAAAACAAATAAAATTCTGTACTCATGCTATTGGTTATTGCTATTAATAGAAATTACTACTTCTCATTTTATACAATCCTCACTTTTGAAATCTCAGCTGATAAGGCAATAATGAAGGTGTGTTTACAATTTGGGGATTGACAATGTTGCAATTTATTGTTTTATGTGATTCCAGAGAGAATAAGAGTGTAGAGACACCCTCGTAGATGGTACATAAATACAAGCTGATGTAGATTATGTATAGTCCTTCTGAGGAAGGAAACTACTGTTCCATTAAAAAAATGACAAAGCATTAATAAATGACAAAGTGCTTACTATGGGCCAGGAATTGTGCTAAGAACTAGAGGTACAAATACAAGCAAATAAGATCATCCCTGCCCTCAAACAGTTGACATTCTAATGGCAAAAGATAACACATAGAGGGGGAGTGGTGGCCAGAAAAATGTATTTTGGACAGGGGAAAGCAATAATAAATTTACTTGATTGATCTATATTCTTTTTCCTAATCTCCCTTGTGAATCGAAAAAAGTGTACGTTGTTCAGGTCATGGCTAAGAGTCTAAGTATGGGTATGAAATGGAGCAAAACTAACTGTGACATATCAGTAGACAGTGTCCATGCCTTTGATTTCAAGGAAGCTTGAAGGAGCTAATCAATTAAGTTAACCAATTTTAGACAAACATATTTAGGGGTTTTCTTTCTCACCTCCTTCCTTAGGTCCATTACCACTACTCATTAGCACCTATACTGGAATATCCTCAGGCAAAAAGAAGCAAGGTAAAATTCATAATAAAAATTGCTCAGTTGTTTAGTAACTGTCACAAAATGTTGATGAACAATGTTCCACTACTAACAGATTGTGTCTGTATCTCAATGATACTTGTCTCCATTAGTATAGATAATTGAGAGTTGGCTACAGATTTTAGTAACATCAGGCAGTATACTTCATGGTTTATTTATTTATTTCCTCCTTCCATTGCCAAAGCTTAATTGTTTTTGCCAAACTATTAAGAAAAAGGCTTGTTGCAGAAATAGTTGAATACACCGTTTCTGAATTGGAATTAACAGAGCTCTGCACAATACTTCTTTGATTTCCTTGGCAACTATCAATTTGCTGAATTTAATACAATAAAATCCAACTAAAATTTATTAATCACCTACAATGTACAAGGCAAAGTAGGTAGAAAGACAAAATGAAAAATAGTCCTGTCCCTCAAGTAATTACAATTTACTGGGGGGAGGCAATATGTAAGTAGACAAATAAATACATGATAATTGGAGGTGGATGAAAAGAACACTAAGAACAAAAGTAATCAAGAAAGACTTCTGGCATCGAACATCTTCATGTAACTGAAACTGTACTCCCCAAAGTTATCAGTCATCTCTTAATTGCCAGATCTAACAGCCTTTTCTCAATATTTATCCTTCTTGACCTCTCTCCTGTCCCTGACACTGTTGATCTCCTTGATAATTTCTTCTCTCTAGGTTTTTACAACACTGTTCTCTCTTGCTTCTCCTTCTGCCTGCTAATCACTTCTCAGTCTATTTTGCAGGATTTTCAACCTGGTCATACCCACTAACCCTGGAGGTTCTCCCTCTCTTTCCCTTTAGGGGAAAGAGCACCCAAAGGCTCTTTCCTGCTCCCTTTTCTTTTCTCCCTCTATATTATTTCACTTAGTGATCTCCTCAGCTCCCATGGATTTAATTATCATTTCTAGAAAGATGATTTTCAAATGTATTTATACGGTCCTAACTTTTCTTCTGACCTCTAGTCTTGTATCTTCAAGTGCCTATTGGCCATGTCAGAATGGATATCTCATAGACTTCTTAAACTCAACATATGCACTATCTTTTCCCCAAAACCCATCCCTTTTCCTAACTTCCTATTACTGGTCTGACCACATTACTTCTCTATTTAATAAAGTCTTTCCTTCCTTCCTTCCCTTCTTCCCTCTCCATTCTCTCTGTCCACATATGGAATCATACCATTACCTGCAGGTGTTCTGCCAAAAGGAATATGAATTTTGATCGCTGAAACCTAGCAAGATATCTTGGGGTTTTCAGTATAGATTTCTTTTTTTACAGACCATGCCTTAAACCTAAATCACTCTGGCCCTCATTGATTGGCCAACAGTAGGTTCCAGACCAAGCCTCAATTGGGATCATTGTTCAGATTCTGATGGCTCAGAGTGAGTGTAACTAGCAATCATTTCTGCTTTGGCCAAAAACTCTGATATTCTTCCCCTATTAGACTGATTTTATTTTAATTTTTTTGACTAAGTAAAAGAGGCCATTCTTTGCCTCATTTTTTATGTAGCCTTATTCACCGAATGGGCATTGCCTTAGACAAACTGAGACCTGGGAAAGATACTAGCTCAAAAAGGCCAAAGCCTCCCACTGCATCCTGGCCATCTCCAGTCATCCTTATCTGTATCTTGCCACTGGACCCAGATGGCTCCAGAGGAGTGAGTGAGGCTGGTGACTTTTCACAGCTCTCCCTCGCTTAAATCTAATTTATTTGCGAGTCATGACATCTCCCTCCTGATGTCATGGTCCTCTTTGAGAACAAGACACAAGCGACAACAATAAATTCTAGTGGCTCCCAATTATCTCTTAAGATCTAATATAAAATTACTTGTTTGTCAGCACTCCATAACCTAGTCCCTTCTCCCTTTTTCATTTTTGCATCTTACTCCACTCCGCATACCTGCGATCTAGTAACACTGTGATCCGTTGGATCACAGTTGTCATCCAGTTCCTGAAATAAGACACTCCATCAGCTGATTTCATGCATTTTCCCTGGCTGTCCCCAATGCTTGGGACTCTCTAGGGAGAGTACTCACCTCCACCTCCTGAATTCTGCCTTCTTTCAATTCTCAGGTAACATCACTCTTTAGAAAGGAAATCTTTCCCAGATCTCCTTAATCTTGGTGCCTTTCCTCCTGTGATTATCTGCTATTTATCCTGTGTACATATTGTTTATACGTAGTTGTCTGCATGTTGTCTCCTCGATTAGACTGTGATCTTCTTGGGAACAGGGGCTTTGCATTTTGGGGTTTTTTGCCTTTATTTGTATCCTCAACATTTACCACAGAACCTGGCACATAGTGGGTGCTTGATAAATGCTAGTTGATTTTAATTGTAAAATGTAGCATAGAAGCTAAGTTTTGGGACTTATTTTCTTCAGTGTACTCTTTGTTAGTTTTTGTCCTTCCTTCTTCAATTGGCCAATTGTGTTTTTTAAGGACTTGTTTTCTTCAGTGTACTTTGTTTCCAATTGGTCAACTGTATTTTTGAAGGACTCTTCTACCTCTCTCATTTGACTATTCAGATCCTTCTTGAGCTCTCTAAGAAGGCTTTTTGGGCTTCAGACCAGTTCATATTCCCTTCTGACGTTATAGATGTGGGTTTGTTGACAATGTTGTCCTCTTCAGAATTTCTGTCTTGATCTTCACTCTTCTTGTAATATGAATCTACGGTACGTTTCTTTTTACTCATGGTGTTTCTTTATTCCCTGGCCTTTAAAGAGATTGAGCTCCCCTGCTGGGGAACAGAGGGCACTGACCCAAGCTTCTTGTGTTGGGAGCCTAGGTCTTGGTCACTGGCTTTCTGTGCTGGGGCCTCTTATATTGGCAATTGGAGGCTATAGGGTTTTGGCAGCTTACCTTGTGTTGGCCTGGAATCAGCAAGGCTGGCACTTTCAGGCAATTCTAGGTTGCCTGCTTTTCCTTTCCTTTAGCTTTCTTCAGCTTTCTTTTAGATGGGTGCTGCAGGGTGTTTATCTGCCTGGGGCCCCTTGCAATGCTGCCTCCCTCGTTTCTGCTAATGCACTGGGAGATTCCTTTGTGTGGTAGAGTGCCGAGGCACCTGGTGGCTTTCTGAGCTGGTTTCCACCAGTTCTCCCACCCTCACTGAGGCACTCAGAGGTCCAGGTGTTGTTGTTTGCCTGCTCTACCACCTGGGATTTAGGATCTCTTCTTGGTTGACAGTTGGAGGTTCTGAGAGCTTACCTGATGTTGGGCTGGAATCAGCAAGGCTCAGTCTTTAGGTTGCTTTCTTCAGCTCTTTTCAGATGAATTCTGCAGGGTACTTATCTGCCTGGGACCTTTTTTAGTGCTGATTCCCTTATTTTTGCTGAGGCACTGGGAGAGTCGTTTGCTGGGCTGCTGTACTGCTGCTCCCTGTCTTTCTTCTAGTTCAGCTGTTCCAGGATTTTTTTTTCCTGGGGTGATATTTTCTGGGTTTTCAGAGGTTGATAGCAGAGGGTGAGAGCGACTACCTTTTCGCTCCGCCATCTTGGCTCCCAGAAGAGGAACTCCATATAAGCTAAGTTTTGAAGGAAGCAAGGGATTCTAAGAGAGGTAAGGAGGGAGGTCAGTTTCTGCAAAAGTGCAGAGGTAGGGGATGAAATGCTAGGTTTGAAATAAGTGAGTAGGCCAGTTGGGCTGGAACATAAGAGAACAGGAAGGAAAGCAGTAAAAAATAAGTCTGGAAAAGGAGGCTGGGACCATATTGTGAAGGGCTTTAGATATCAAGCAGAGGAGTTTATATTTATCCTCAGAACAATAAGGAGTCACTGAGGTTCTTTCCTGAGAATGGCTAGATTTCAGGTTTTAGTAGATTATTTTGGCAGAGAAGATTAGGAAGAGAAGCCGCAGAATGCAGGGAATCTAGAAAATCCAGTTAGGAGGAGGCTGTTGCCAATAATTCTGGATGGAAGTAATGTGCTTCTGAATAATGATGATGGTCACATGAGCAAAAAAGATAGGGAGAAATGTGATAAATGTTCCGGGGAGCAAATTGACAATATTTTATTTTGCAACTGAATGAAAATGATGGCTGAGGAAAGCATCAAGGATAATTCTGAGGTCTCAAGGCTGCATGATACCAGTATGATGGTGGCATCCACAGAAATAGGGAAATTTGAAGGAAGGTTGGGTTTAGAGGGAAAGAAAATGTGTTGCCTTTTTGATATGTTGAATTTGCAATGCTTAAAGGACATCCAATTGGAAACACTGATCAGACAATTGATGTGAGAGTTTAGGGAAAAGATTAGGACTTAATATCTAGAGGTAAGAATCATTTATAGGTTATAATTAACCATTTACAGGCTATTGATAAACCTATGAGAAGTAATTAAGTCACTATGAGAAAGGATGAAGAAAAAGAAAAATAAGAATACTCAGGCTACAGACTTGGGGAGTGGATGGACATCCACGGTTAGCAGGCAGGATATAGACAAAGGAAAGGCCCCAAGTTAAAGTACAGGGATTAGGTCAAGAGATTTTGAAGTCTAAATCAGGGAGAAACATTAGCTTAAAATGGCCCCTCTTCTCAGTAAGGGTAAGTAAAGTTGTCTGGGGAGAGGGAAGTGGAGGAAGTAGTATAGAATGTTTAGGAAGAGAAGAAAAGGCACAACAACCATCAGGAATGTCATAGAGAATCTATTTGGGAAGACTACAAGTTTTATCATGTAGCAGCAAGGTCCCAGTTGAGAACAGATAACATAAATATGTAATGGATGTAGTCAATATGGTTGTGATGCTTCCTCTAGCATGTTTTGGCAGCTCTTTTGAGAAGCATGTGAGTATAAGCAGAGAAGGCTGATGCTGAGTGTAACCCAGGATTGGAATTTGGCCAGACATGTGCAGTAAAAGTACAAGGGAACTTAACCAGAATGTGAGAAGTATAAAAAAGATGATTTGAATGTTATCTGATTTTACCACTGAAACCAAGACTTTTTTGAATTTATTTTTAAATAAAATACCATGCTGCTTACATTAAGAGCAAAGATATGTCAAATCCCTTATATCTTCAGAGGGGTAAATTAAGGTGCTATCTCCTGAGAGCTGAACCTTTTTACAGCAAGCAATAGTTCTTCTAAGGCAAAAAAGTGAGTAATTCCAGACCCAGTGCTTGAGTTTTATCTTCATTATGTAAGTGCCATATGTGTTCTTCTTATTTTAAGAGTGAGCAATACACTGCCCTTGAAGAATGACATGTGAATAAATCTAATGTGGGAAGTGTCAGAAGAGTTTGAAAAACCAAACAGCTGCAGTTTAAAAGAAGAGACCCTATATTAGGTAAAGTACACCACCTAATAGATTTTTCACTGTCCTTCTCTTTCTCTCTTTTCTTTCCGTTACCCTTCTCCTTCTCTATTTCTTCCCTTCCTCTCCACTCCCCTCCCCTCTATTATCCTATCATTTCTTTTCCTCTCCTCTCCAATCCCCTCCCCTCCTTTCTTCCTGATGTGCTGAAGAACTAATGCCACTCTTTTCTTTCTCCCATCTGTGCTTTTTACCTCAGTACTATACATGAAAATATATTTAAAATTAAAGAAAAATTTGAACAAAAATTCTTCAGGGAACCAACTGGTTGGAGAGAAATATATAATTAGCACTAATCTTTTTATACTTCATATTCTCTCTGAGCCTGTGGACACAAGCTCAATTTATATAGGATTCCCAGACACTATAAGCATAACCTCACATATTTTTTTTATTCTTCAACAAAAATCCACCCTTAAAACTGTTAGAAAGGCATTTAGCATGTCTTAATCTTTGTCCAATCCTGATCTTTTCAACAACAGGAGTCCCTAGGAAACCAAAGAACATGCAATGGGTTTCTTTGTTTTATATATCAATTGCTCTGAAGATGAAAGAAGAAGAATAAGGGGTGCTCTAGGGTGCAGTTAGCAACCTCAGACCGTATTAAAAGTAGGTTAAAAAATCAGGTGGTTCTAGCAGAATATTCCCTGGGTCACAATTATGGATTCTACAATCCCTAGAAAAATGTCAGCCATGGGGTTAGGAAGGGCTTCAGTATAGGGCTAGCTCAATGAGGAAACAGTGGATGAAGTTTTGTTTCAGATTCAGAAGTAGGAGTGGAGGGAGGGAAGGGAGACAGTTTTAAGTTAAGACTCCTTAGTAAATATGAGAATTACTCAGTTCCAATAACTGATGCTATAATTTAGAGAAATGAATCATAAAGAGAAATTAAGAAAGGGAACAGATGGACCATGGAGACTTACTGGAAGATGGCCATAGACCCAGAGGACAAAAGTGGACTACTCAGGCAGCTTGCCAAATTACTTCCTCTACTATCCCTTTCTAGCCAAACTATGCTTAGATGACCCCAAACAAATAAGAAGCCCTAAGTTCAAAGGATTCTTGAGCAAAAGGAGACACATTCTCCCTCTAAAATCCTATTTAAATATTTAATAAGCTTATTTCCTTACACTGCGTGTGAATCCTTGAGCTAATTTCCTCTTGTCAGTGCAGTCTGACTTGATTCATAGTGGAGGTTGAACATGAACTGAACCCTTATGAGTAGGCAGTGTGATCCAGTGAAAAGAATGCTGGATTTAGAGACAGGAGAGGCCTAGATTCAAATCCTGATTCTGACAGTAGACATGTGGCTATGGGCAAGTCACCTAATTTTTTTGAATCCATTTCTTCATTTATAAAATGTGGGCAATTATGTCACTAGTAGCTACCCACAAGGTTGCTATATGGCTCAGATAAATGGGGATAATATATGTAAAGTACTTTGCAAACCCTAAAACATCATTTAAACACTAGCTATTATTATTATAGTTATTGTTATCATTTTTTGAGACTAGGTCTTCCTATCCCATCTCACCCAAAAGTGCAGTGGCTGCTTGCAGGCCTGAGCCCCCTCTCGATGGACAAAGAAGCTTTGATATTTTCTATTTCCAACCTGGCCCAGTTTTCCCCTTTTAAGGCAATCTAGTGATCCTCTGCTCCAGGGAGCTCACCACAATGGTGCCAAACTTCCATTGGCTTTAGTCTTACTGCATCTCAGACCACCTGAAATCAAGTAATCTATCATCTTCTCCTCCCTTGATGATAAGAATTACATGAGCAAGCCACCATATATGGCAAGGGTTGCTGTCTCAATCAATAATTAATCTGGCTACCAGCTGCTATTATTGCATTTCTCAATTGCTAAATTTGTAATATAATGCTTTCTACTAAACTTCATTTATAAACTTTGCTTTAAAGTTTCAATGAAAGGCAGTATGAATTAATGGATAGAACACTGACCTTACATTCAGGAAGACCTAGGTCCTACCTCTGATATGTAATAACTGTATAACCATGGGCAGTCACTTAATCTTTAAGTCCTTAACAGGTCAAGACTCTTGCCTCATCCCCATTTCCTCTACCCCATCCAAAAAAAAAAAGAAAAAAAAGTTCTAATAAGGGAATATTTAAAAACCCACTGAAGGCAAAGTTTAAGCTTATTACAGACTTCTTTTAGATTCTTGCATGAGTTTAATTTCAGTTCTTCAATATACCATCTCCTTTTTATAGTGTTAATATTGACTTCTCAAACTGTGCTGGGGATATAGGCTTCTTTCCACAGTTCTTTGTCATTGGATAGTCATGGATATGTGTGTGGCTATGTGACTGTATATATATACACACATATATATACATATATATGTATATATGTATATATATGTGTGTATATATATATGCACACACATACACACACATGTATATATACATCACATAAACATGTCTATGTATATGTGTATATATGCATCTATATACATATACATATATATGCACAAACACATCTTTATATAATATTTTAACTCAATCAAATGAAATGCATAGGATAACAAAGGAAACAAAAAAATTGATGGAAATAAAGATATATTCCCCCCCCATGTCTACCATATGCCTTTGATTAGAACTGTTAACATATGACCAAGTCCTCTGAAATTCAAGACATGCAATATTCAGATATACTTGGAAATTGAAATATTTAAACCAACCAGTAGAGATGACCGCACATGTTTGAGCAGAACCATATTGGTTTTCCTTGATGTAGAAATTAACCCTAGGCGTGTGTGTGTGTGTGTGTGTGTGTGTGTGTGTGTGTGAGTACCCTGTTATTTGTGTCTCTATATATTACCCTGCTATTTTTGTCTATATTTATCTGGATATAGATATATATGGGTTAATGCCTGTGTTGGGGAAAACCAATAGATGCCTGATCAGATATATGTAATTACTTCTATTTATTTGGATTAAAATCTCTGCCCACATTTCATTCTTTAGTACAAAAAAAGTTTCAATTTCCAAGTATGTTTGAATATCGTATATCATACATCATAGGGCCTGGTCATATAGTAACAGTTGTTGTCAAAGGCATAGAGTGGACTTGGTAGGGGACAGTGTATCTTTATTTCCATTAATCTTTGTTTTCCTTTGTAATCCTATGCATTTTGATTAATTTAAATGTTATATGGAGAAGGGATCTGTGGACTTCACCAGATTACCAAAGGGGCCCATGCCACATAAAAGGTCAAGCCCTTCTCTAAAGAGTTATCTGGTCCACCGAGTGGGAAAGTAACCTGCCCAAGATATGGTAGCAGCAGAAGAATTTGAGCCTAGGTCTTCCTGACTCTGCAGCCAGGGAGCTATCCAATGACCCACACTACCTCAGATGAACCTTACTTAGGCTAAGAAATAATTATTATTTCTAAAAAGACTAGAAGGAGAATTCTACTACTTTAATTTCCTAATGGATCTTTCCTTCTAGGACTTCAGCTTCTGAATCTTCAGCACATATAAAACAGTTCAAGAGTTAATGCTTTGACAACTCCATGATAAGCCTTGTTACTAATTATTTTAGAAGTAGGATTACAGCAACTTCTGCTTGGTGAGATTGCTACTTTCCTGTTTCTGTCACTTCCTTCTGTAATTAACCTTGCTATTCTTAGCTGCAAACCACAGATACAGTGCCAAGCTTCTCCAGGATTCTATCTTATATTTGAATGGCCAGTTACTATCTGACTTTCTCCTGGGAAAGGGTCTATAATCATTGAGGGATCTTAATGATGAATGTGGTTTAGCCCATCCCCATCCCCTTCATGCTGATAGTCAACTCAATTAATCCACTGAGAGCTCAGCAGCTTACTCTAACTGAGTCTCTCCTCTAACATGATCAGGTCCCAAATCATGTATCAGCTGCCTGCTGAGAAACTCAACCTTTCTCTAAGAAAATTCAGTGCTTCTGGGGATTTTCAACAGGCTTCTTTCTTTTCTCTCCATTTCAAGGCTGCATGCACTGGAGGGAAGATGAGATGCTTCTCTGATAGCTTTTCCATACTTTGACATACATCATTGTATTATGCCAAGCATGTTTGACACGTTGGCAAACGAGATGCCGCAGAACACAATGTGATTAGTCAGTGATGGACACAAGTAAAAGGGCAGAATTTAAAGGCAAAGGGGCCTGCTTTCTGTTCTCAGGAAGCTTAGGTGACTGCTTGAAACTGTAGTGAAACAAAGGAAGGCCTTTTCTAAGGTAACAGGGAAGCATGTGCTGGCTTCCCACAAATCGAGCATTTTTGGACCAATTTGTAACCCCCATGAACACTGAGATAAAGCTTCCTCTGGGCCTCACAGCAATGCAAATGTAGTTCTGATGCACTATAGGAGAGAAGGCAATGTAGTCAGTCAGTATTCTCTGATTAAACATGGGAGTTCAGAAGGTAAGAGTGCAGTATTCTGTATGTCTGCAGAGGAAAGGAAGGAATTTTATGAAGGAATCTAAATTTCTGAAGGACTTGGAATGAAAACCAGTCAGAAGTGAGAACAGAGGCTTTTGCCACATCAGTCACAATACAAAAAAGAGGCCCTGTATCTTTAGCTTAGTCACTGGGTAACCACTTTGGCTGCTATGCTATTCTTCTACTGTGTTATTCTCTTCCCTTGGTTGAGTGAGCACTCCCAAGGAACAGATCTTAAAATCTCAGATTTGCAAGGGTCCTTAAAAATCACCTAGTCCAACCTAGGCTAGTTATACCTTGAAAGCAATCCCCTGAATAACAAGCAAACAGATGGCCATTCCATCTCTGACTGAACACTTGTAATGTCAGGAAACTCATCACTTCACAAAGCATCTCATTCCATTCTTAGATAATGTTGACAGTTGGGAAGGTCTTTCTTCTGTCTTAACTACTGTTCATAATTTTGTCTTCTGGAATGAAAAATTCATTTTTTTCTTTTCTGCATCATAGCCCTTCAATCATTAGTTGGGA